AGGGAGTATTAATCTTCATTTTTGCGTTTACCATTTCTTCGCTCTTTTTAAAGGGTTTCTTTTTTTTTTCTTTTTAATCGTCAGTTTCTGTTTTTCTCCTTTATTTCATTTTCTTCATCTTCAATTCTTTTTACATTGTAGACATAGTCACTGAGAGATGACTTTTGACAACTATTGACAACGGTTGAAATCAACAACTCGAATTTCCTAGTAGTGTTTATATGAAATTTCCTATTCATTCAATCAATCACTTTTTCTCCAATCCTTACTTTTATTACTACAATCATCACAAAAAGATTTGTAATATTGATTTTTTTTAGTCAATAATAATAAAGTTAGGATGATGACTTTAATTACATTTGTATATATTTTATGAATGTTACACTTTTATGAAAATATTTTATAAGGAACATTTTAATATGAATGGTCAAAGTTGACCACCATTGACTAAGAAAAATCAATTTGACAAACCTTTTGGGACAGAGAGAGTACTATACATCTCGTTTTTCATCTTCTTGACGAATAATTATGATTTAAAAAGTCAAATATTCCGATATAAAAATATATAAATTTGGAATTGAATTATTTGTTGTTACTACAGACGTAATTTTGGAAAAATAACTGCACGATGTAAAAAAAAAGATTCTGAGATCTTAATTTCAATACTTAGATCTACTTAACAATACTTTTAGCCTAAAAAATTAAACCTTATATTTCTATAAACTTTATATATGCAATATTGGTCTCATATGAGAACTTATAAAAAGTTATGAATTTTAATATTTATTTTTTGTGAAAATTAGAGTACAAAATAATTATAATCCTTTAAATTAAAGAAAAGTGGGGGGTTTCCCGGCCCAACATCCATGTTTTCTTCTTCTTTCTCTTCAATGCAATCTTCTTTCTCCGACCTTTCTCGACCATTCCTTCTCCCGACAACAAGCGAGTGAATAGGAATGCGATTTTGTTCGCCTCTCTGAAGAGGAAGGATATCACCCCCACTTTCTGCCATGAGGCAGCACATTTCACTTTTTCTTTGTACAAGAGTTAATAATCTTTATGATCTTTCCAATGGTATCAGTTTTGTATATAAAATTTTGAAGACAAAAGTTTTTTTTTTGAATATCTATTTTTCGTTGATTTTTTTGAAATTTTCATATGCAATATTAGTACCATAAAGAAGATCGTAAAAATTGATATATTTTTTTAAAAATGGATTAAAAATGAAAAAGTTAAAATAATTACAAAATACTAAAGAATTGACTTGCCACATCGTACACAATTATTGTGGGGGTGATGTTCACCCTCTTTGAGGGCTGAACAAAATTGAATTCATTGAATAGGGATAACAAAACCTCCGTTTTGGCACAACTCTTCAGGTGAAAATATCATAACAATAATTTTCACACCTTGGATTTCAATCAACTAAATAATACCAGAAAGGAAAATAGTGTAATAAATCTTAGACAATACAAACATTAATATTAAGATCACATAGAGGTTTCAAAGTATCACTTTGAATCAGAAACAATTATAGAGGCTAATTTATCTTTTCATTTCGCATCAAATCATTTGTTACATTTCCACTTTTGGAAAGAATTTCACCCCAAAAGCATCTACAATATACTTTAATAATATATAAAGTACCAAAACTCCTACTTATTAAAAAAGTAGAGTAGGTCTATAAATTATCTTAAGCTTCGTGAAAAACCTACTAATTTAAGACGCATATAATGATACAGAGATGGGAAATTTTTTTAGCTAAAACTAAATCAAATTAATTAAAGGAACTCAAACAAGAAAAAGTAAAACGAATAAATGATTGATTTGAAGTCTCTTCTTTATAGCAAGGTGTATTAGCCAAGTACTTACGGTACGTGGAAGTGGACCATTTGAATCCAAAGATCATTGAACGGTCGACTGTGTCGCAAGATACACATTTGAATTTAAAAAGTAACTTGTTACCCAAGTGTTTACTAATGGTTACTAACCTAGTTTAATTTTGGGAAGGATGTGAACTACAAATTGTGCTCTAGTTCTTATGAACCAAAACTTACCAAACATAAAGGTTGTCAAATACTACATAGACACCTTCACCCCTCACATTTTAAACACACCTCCTCTATCTAGGCATACATTACTTATATCTTTATAGGAATATTGAACCACGTAAAAAGATGAATATTAAGAAAATCATTGTTCTTCGATCATTTTCATATCCAACCTTGTGGAGATATTGTGCATTCATATCTGAGTTTTGTTTAATTTTTAGTATACTCATATATACCTAGATCAATTTTTATTTTCTAGTGCATATACTAGATGTTCTTCTTGACTTTCGTTTTTGAAATTGTTTAAGTATCAATAGTGAAGAAGAACTCATTTTGTCATCATTCAGTACACAACCCCATATAATGGATGAAGCCATCTTATGCAAATTCTCGTTTGAATATAGTTGAACAGATCCGTTGTAAATTTCTTAAAACCTACAAGAGCCATTGATTAATTCTCACATAGTTAGAGATCTTTTCCAATTGACAAAGGTGTGTTTTCCAAAGAGACCTTTATTGTGATTTTGCTCGAGTTCAAAGAGATTAGAAGAGTAGTGGATTTCAAAGTATATATCATCCTTTCTCTATCCATATTTTATTTTCACTTTTATTTATTTGTATTTTTATTACTTTTAGTGAAACACATTAAACATGAACGTGTTGAAGTGACAGTCTCAAACTCTCTTACTCGGCTATGTGAGACGTTTGGTCAACCTATGTTTTTGACACCGAGGTTTAATGATCTTAATCTACCATGCTAGAAATTTTAAGATGCAAATCCTTTTGGAATGCACCTAATTCACCCACCTTTATGTTTCGCATCCATCTTTCACCCAATTCAGGCATAAATGGTGTTGTATTTAAGCAGAGCTCAAAAGAATTAAAATTTCTACTATTACAAATAAGTTACATATTTATTTAATGAAGTAGATTGTTAAGAAGTTCATAGTCAAATGTTTTTGAACCGGAATGAGATTAAAACGGGTAACTCCCTAGAACGTGCACGGTTCGTGACAAAAGTCCACTATGAAAACATGTGCTGAGGTATTTAGGAGGATAATGTCAAGTCTTGAGATCAACTTACAGGGATACTTGTGTTAGTGTGAATTTATTGAGATTCAGGTATTTGGGAGGACAATGCCAAGTCTTGAGATAAATAGGGCCACATGGTCTGGTTTCATAGGTTCAGTAGTTTTCTGCATACTCGTGATTTTTTATGTAGTAAGTTTGATAATTTTTTATTTATTTATCACTAAATGGTCCTCTTATTTATTTATTGAAATATATTGATGATATTATTATTATTACTGACAACTCTCCTTCTAGAGCCTGCTCTTTTAGTTTTCTCATTGCTAGTCATTTTGCAATGAAAGATTTGTGTGATCTTCTTTATTTTTGGGAGTACAGGCTACTCGCACCACTACAAGTTTGTTTTCTCTTAATAGAAATATGTCACCGATCCCCTTGTTCATTTTCATTTGCATACTCTTAAATTTGTTCACACTTCTCTTGCTACCAATAATTCTCTCTCTCTCTCATTGATGGCGAGATTCTCGTGGATGCCACTGAATATCGCAGTATGGTAGGTGTGTTGCGGTATTTAACTTTGACACGAATATTACTTATGCAATATATTTGGTTTCTCAGTTTATGTGTGCCCCCTCATACTACTCAAATGCTTGCAATCAAGCGTATTTTCAGATATTCACATAGAACGATTAATCATGATTTGTGGCTCTAGTTCTCCACTCAGCTTACTTGTATTTTGGCATATTCTAATGTTGATTGGGCTAGAAGTCCCGATAGTTCTCTCTACACCACCAATTTTGTCATTTTCTTGGGCTCTAGCCTTGCTTTTTGGAAGTCCAAAAAGCAGCCTACGGTCTCATAGTCCAAAAAAATAGAATATTATGTTAGTTCTTACACAGTACAAGACAACTTGCATATTTGCTTTGTTATATTCGAACTTGGATTTCCTATCAAGGTACTTGTTCAGCATTTTTTGATAATATCTCAGTCTTCTACTTGACTGTCAATCATGTTCAACATGCTAGGAGCAGCAATTTCCAAGCTTTATCTAAATATGTCATTTTTTAGTGTTGGGTGTCACCTCCCATATGTATATTCCCCGCAACCTTTTGACATGTGTTTCTGTCTGCTAATAAAGGGCTCATACTGATCTCTTCATCAATTATGAACATAACTTTCTTCTGCACCTATATTGAGGCGGATCGCACCCCTCCTGAACCACCGTCGTTTTTGTAAGGTGAGATCACATGAATCGCTTTCTTTCACAGTTCCTTTTCGGTGGATGGGGGAAGTCGAGGTGCGTGTCTTATTTCACACACTAAATGCTCCTGATTAGAAATATATGTTTGCCTTAAGAACGAGCATGCGTGGGAAGTTTCTTCCTTTTTGTTTCTTACAGATAGTTGGTAAAATTGGGGCATTTTCGGTGGCCAGTCAAATTGGATCCTGTTTGAGTGGCATGGCACTCACACTATAGTACTCTCTCCGTATCATTATATGTTTCATTTGTTTTTTCATGTAGTTTAAGATAATTACCGTAGATTTTATAAAAAGTAAGATTTTTTTTACTATGATAGGCTATACAAGTTCTGTAAGTGTATTATAGCTATTTTTGAGTGAGTTTCGAGAAATGAGACATTGATTTGGTATGTTCCAAATAGGAAATTGAGAGAGTGTTATTCTATGCGATTGTTGTGTGAAAACATTTTAAAAAACTTTTTTAAAAAGCAGCTTCCAACATAATTTACTATTACCACATGGGCTATGATTTTGAATACGCGATAGTTAGGCCCACAACATCCATAGTCCAAAATCTAACCATACCGCATCATAAAAAGCTTCGTATATACATACACCGTTCCGTATATACATACGTACTTATTGTATTAACATAACTCCGTCAACTTGTCACTTACCAAAGAAATTCTCCCTTTCTTCCCCTCCCCTCACTCCCTATATATATATACATCTCTCTCCTCATCCGCCATTTCTCCTTCCGGATTTCTGCATATCTTCCTTCATATTCTAGCTCTCAAATTTCTCCCTCTGCTGAGGATTTAGGATGAAGGACGATTGGATTGAAGCTGCGCTGGTCGACGATGCAGTGGTGGCGGAGATGCTCTTCCGCCTGAAGCAGTCCCGCATGTCGCAGACGTCAGATGCGTGTGTGCCGCCGGCGATTCAGAAGTCTCTCCGTCTCTCACTTCCGCCTCTCCAATGGGGGAACCGTCAACCGCGGTCGAAGTCTTCCATTCACAAGTGGTCCCGGTGCGGTGCTACGGCCGCGCGTAGCCCTAACACGCCGCTGTCGTGGAGCGGAGGTTCAACGTCTCCCAGTGACGGCGGTTGCGATGAGTCCAGCCGACCGCCTTCCTCCTCCTCCGATCTGTCGTCTGCCTTCAGATCCAAGGTTTGTATGCTTACAGCTCTCCTACTCACTCATCTCATCTCTTACCTCCGGATGAGAGCGATTCTCCGGAGCGTCTTCACCTCCCGTAGCTGAGACGAGAATCTCTTTCAATTTTCACATCAGCTTTGTTTTTTTTTGTTTCAGGCAGTGACTTCACTTACCGGTAGTCCTGATCTGTGTTTTTGTTTGATTTTATAACTGCAATTAGGATACTCACGAGTCACGAAACAGGTCCTTCACGTTACACAAAATCTAGACAGTAGCTTACAATGAACATTTTACCTCAATTCTCACCATAATTTACCTCACTGCGAAACGCGTTGAAGTTATGGCTCGGCCTGTTCTTTTCTAATTTTCAACGCTTACGAATATCCTTTATCCTGGTTTTCGTCAGTCGGAGAAGATGCCTATTTTTGAATATTGGTCTTGTGTTTCCACGTGAACTCAACCCGACCCGACCCGACGGATCTGCAACAGGAGGTTTCGTAGCGGTCGGCGGCTTTCAATTTCGTCCACTTTTGTTTTTTAGACTGTCAGTTTGGCGTTTTCATTGTTAGCGTATATATTTATCGGGATAATGAAAATTATGGCGGGGCGGGTGGGCGGATGCCGGGTCGGGCCAGCGAGTCACATTCACACGATGGCTCATGGCGGTTACTTTTCTTCTCGCATCTTTTTTTGACGAGTATTAAATGCGAGTGATATGGAGTAATTCTGGTCTCTTTCCTATCGCACGATTCACGGAACCTGGAACGATCTGGGTGGGTTAGGTCGGGTCGGATCTGGCCCGGGAGAAACTGAGAAACCTCCTTTTCGGACGTGTTTGGTTTGTGGGTAGTTTATCTGGTGCCTTTTTTAATCTATGTGTGCAGGCGGGCCCGGTCTAATAGCGTCGGTAGTTTTCCCTTTCCTCAATTATTTTTTGATAGTTTTGATTTACAGAGAAATTTTCTCACTTTTTGCCCTTTTTTCTACCTGTTTTCCAAATTGGTTCACGGGTTATGGTTGCCAGATTCGACTTACATCCTGACTAATAGGAATATTTGTTTCGTAGAAACAATTGAAATATACATATTTAGAATATGAAATTTATTGAGGTTGAAAATTGAATTTAATTATGATAAAAATGTCATTCCGTGTTAAGAGAATAATAAAAAGGCAGAGTAAAGTATCATCTGTTTTGATAAAAGGTACGGAGTAAAACGTAATGCCTCCGTTAGAAGTTTTAACCTCTCAAAGTTGGTAAAAGATCATTATATTGAAAACGGTCCATTAGGAAGAAAATACTTTTATTTATGATAATCTGATTTTGAGGCTACTTAAATTAAATTACACTAACTTTGAAGGAAAATTCAGTCAAATGAAAGCGCCAAGAAGTCAAATCTATTGGAGTCTGAATTTCTTTTTTTTACTTCGTAGGTAATTTCCTTACGTGCTTAAAAAATAAACTTAATACTTGCGGCATGAAAGTCAGGATTAAATTACACAAGTATATTTTCACTCCTGGTTTCGTTTTTCTCTCCAGTTTCTGAAATTGCTTGATTTAAACTTATTAAAAAGGAAAATCATTACCTCATTCTTTGCTTAAAAAATTAGGACTGTTTGAGATGCTCAAAAAAGAGTGGGAGAATATTTTGGGACAAAAAGAAAAGCGGAAGATTATGAGATTCATTATTCTTTTAAACGGAAAAATAATTCCGTGTAAAAATAAGTATTCACACTATTATCGATTCATTTCTATCATTTTAATTATTACGAGCTTATGCTATTACCATGATTGTAGTACTATTATTATATCACTTAAATTGAGAAAGGTTAATGTGCTCCGCGTGTCCTCATAGAAGTTGGGCGGTGCATTAGGTTTGGATTTTGGGTGCACGGTGGGTCCCAGCTTGGCTGCGAGTATCACGCTGCTTTTTCCCATGTGTCTTCCAGTCATTGGAGGGCTACACTGACTCCATTGCTGTTATCTGCGGTGAATTGCCTTGGGTGGGCAAAAGTGTGGGAGTATCTATTCAAAAAAAGGATTACACCCCAACCTTTGTGTCATGCTACCAGTTGAGCACTTGAGCTACGCTCACAGGTGTGGGAGTATCTATTCATGCACTACCATAAATGGAGATTATGGGGGGAACCTTGTTGGACTTGGGCTCCTTTTGGGAGTATCAGGACTTTTGGGGTCCTGATGCAAGATCCACTATGCTAGACCTGGCCCATATGTCATGCTTATCAAATTCAGCTATAGTGATGAAATAATTCTAGATTCTTATTAATTGATCTATTTTCTTAGTATTATAAAATATTACGGAGTATATGCTTAAATTATTATATGCTTAATTAGAGTAAAATAAATTATTACATGCTTAATTAGAGTAAAATACAGATTAAAATATTATTAACCTTGTCCTTTTTTGCAGTGTACTGTCACTAATGAAATGTGCAACATTAGCTGTTCCAGTCAAGGATGTAAAAGGAAAAAGGTAAGCTTTGAATATATTGACCAAATGGCCATTGACTTAACATTAGCTTGTCTTTCACAGCACATTTTCGTAAAATGGTTTCAAAGTTTCAGTCCTTCAGCTAAATTTCCCCCCTGAAAATGTGCTGGGAAGGACCTGGATGATTAAAAAATAAACTTTGGCAAATTCTGATCATTTTGGAAGTGGAAGACCAAAAGTGATAGGGACAAACAAATTTGTGGGGTTAATTCTTTTTTGTTGTCCCTAATAATTTCTATTTGTCCCTTTATTTTTTTAGGAAGTTTTTTTATTATTTCTCTCATTTTCATATTTCGAAACTTCTCTTTTCTAATTTTTCTTCATTTTGTTCTTACATTTCTCCTGATCTTTCCCTACTTTTTGTTTATCTTTATCTTCTCTTTCATACTTCTTTTATATTCATTACGTTTCTGTTTTGTCTTCCTCTCCTTTAAAAACATATAGACACATAAAAACCAGAGGTAGTATTATACGTACTCTTAAAAAATTGTAAGGAAACTTAATGTTTGTTTAATTTTTATGGTAGACATTCGATGAGCTGAAGGAAGAGGAGAACTCACTTTTGAAAGAAAGAGTTGACTTGGAGAGGGTATGATTGTAAATAATACATTCTGAACATTGCAAATGTTATTCTCTTGCCACTCTTACGATTTTCCCCACAGTTGCCTAATTATTCATTTGGTTTTAAAATAGGATCTGGCTTCCGAGCATGTCAACCTCAATCAAGAGAGAGCTAGGAGTGAAAACTTGAAGAAGATCAAAGTAAGCCCACTTTGACATCAAAAAATCTTATTTGAGAGTTTATAATTTATTTAAGCTCTAAATAAACCATTGGTTCAATTTTGCATACGGAGTATAAGATAAGAGTAAGAAAAGTCGTATTTGAAAAACTATCCCTATGATTTGAGAAAAGCTGTCTATCCACTAATGTCAGTGTACTTTTACTAAGCTCCCTCTCTATCGCTTTATATACATATCTATTACTAGTATATAGTTGTACAGTTGTACTAAATAAATTATACTCCGTATGTTTTTTAGTCAGAAACCTGTAATATTTCATACTTTTCTAACCAAAGTAACAACTACTACGTACTAAACTACTCAGCTCGTTCCAGATGCTGCCCAAACTCTTTGGGTAAATATCGCAGGGACCGGGGGAGGTGTAAATTCCTTTTTTATGTTTGGCTTTACATTAGAAAACGCCAAGTTAAATGGAAAATGATTTTACATGTGTAAATAGGTGAAATTTATTTACAATATCAACAAATACTCCGTATCTAATTTAAATGTATCTCGTATTAGCATATCTTTTGCTTTCACCCACATTTTCTTTCCTTCTAACTTTCCTCTATGCTTCTTTCCTTGCGTTGGGTTTCCAGGTTGATCTGAAAGTAGAATCAGGGAAAAACAGTATAGTTAAGCAATGTCATGAACAAGAAACAATCGTCAAAGCTTCTTCTTATCAATGTGAAAACAAGAACTTGTTGATTGAATCAACAAAGAAGTTACATCCAGTCTTGCCGAGACAGGCACCAGATGATGAACAGTCTCCAACAGATTCACATAGGGATGACAAAAAAGCAGTAGTGTCAAGAGGTTTCGTCCTGCCCGATCTTAACATGGACCCTTCAGAAGAAGAAATTGAGTGATAGAAAAATTCAACAAATTCTCAAAAATATTTCTTCGTCTTCTCTGCAAGCAATTGATCTATAATCAATGGCTGAGATACTGCTGCTGCTTGTACATTACTACGTACTTCCGTTTTTTTTTTCTCTTTTTAATATTCTCCAACTGAGACGAAGTTTCAGATATTATACAGCTCACAGACTTCGGATTACGCAAGTTCTTTTGGTGCAGTGGAGTTTGTGAGTTGATCTTGTGGCGAAGGTTGTAGTGTAGAGAACAAAAACAGTTAATATGTAGAAATTTATAAATTTTTGCAGGTTTCTGCTTGTTAGAATTGTTGCTTAGAGACAGTTGAATATTTATTCATTCTACATTTCTACTCTGTTTCCGCTTATGGAACACAGTTTTTTCTTTCTAATTAGCATATGATTATTTGTAAAATTTAGCTGTTACCTTGTTAGGCACCCAAAGTACAATAGGACTATATTCCTCACCACACAGGTATATAAAAAACTTTAGGCACCTGGAACCCAGTTTATAATAAACTGGCGTTTTGGGGTGTTTCGTTCATATTAAGAGTTAACTTGCAATACTAAAAAACATTAGTAATGTTGGGATAATAGGCCGAGTGGCCTTGGTATGGGTGGACTCGGGTCGGGCCACCCGGCCCGTGGACCGGCCCGGCCCGCTACTGTGCGGGACCGGGATCGGTCCGGTTCTCGGGTCTGGGTCCGGTTCGGGCCTAGGCCCGGGGGGTAGGGCGGGTCCGGGCTCGGGTCTCAATTTTGGTGAACCGGCCCGGCCGGGTCGGGCCCGGGCCAAATTGAATTTTATTTATTTTTTTTTCATTTTTGGGGTTCCACCCTGGTTGGGCTTGATGGGTAGGATGGGTTTGGGAGGGTGGGGGTGAGGGGGTGGGTTAGGAAAGCAAAAAAAAAAAAAAAAAAAAAAAAAAAAAAATCCAAACCGGAGGCCCGGACCGGACCGGACCCGGTGGCTACCCGGGCCGGTCCCGGGTCCACCATTCTTGAACCGCCGGCCTGCCCGGGCCTAGGCCCGACCCGGACCCGAGTCCACCCCTAGGCCTTGGGCCAGCCCAAGATTGTTCTCCCAACTCGTCCCTATTCCCTGTTGTTGGATAAGGGCCCATTCTGAGTGTCTAATGGAAAGGCAAGTGTTCTTCCATAAATACTAATTTAATACATTTTTTTAATTTTTTTTATACTAATTTAATACATCATGTTTCTCCAATTCTCCCTATTCATCAAATATGCATATATGTTATATACTTTGATTCAACCAATCATGAAAGGGTCTGTGTTGGACCTTTGAACTGTGTTGGACCTTTGAACTGAGGGTATTAATCTCAACACATAGGTCCTATTCCAAAGCACTCATACTATTAGAGTTGCAAATTACAAGATAAATGAATGAATGCTACAAATATAGTAACCCTCATGGCTTTTGTTGAAACACTATTTGTATTGGGCTTAGCCCATCTTACATAGTAACCCTAGTGCTCTAGTTTTTGCTATAAATATAGCTACTTGTATACTCCCTCCGTTCCATAAAATAAGTCTCATTTCAATTTGAATTGGAGTTTAAGAAAGTAGGAATAAAGTGGAAATATATGATTGTGGTTGAGTAAAAAAAAGGTAAATAAATGTTAGCCACACAAAACTTTCCAAAAAGGGAAATGGGGATAATTTTTTGGGACGGCCCAAAAAGGGAAATGGGACTTATTTTATGGGACGGAGGGAGTAGTTCTCAACATCAAGATTCGTTACAATGAAATACAATTTATATAGTGTACATGATATCAGACATTTATAAGGCGCACTGTAGTTAGGACATTGATTTTTCTCCGACGGGCATTTCCGGCTAGGAGTGGACTCGGGCCGGGCCAACCTGCCCGGAACCGGACCGGCCCGCTACTGTGCGGGCCCGGACCGGCCCGGTGAACCGGTTGGTGCTCGGTTCGGGCCACCCGGCCCAGTGATGTAGGCGGGCCGGGGCCGGGCCTCCTAAATCGTGAACCGGCCCGGCCGGTTCGGGCACGGTCAGGGCCAAATTATTATTTTTTCTTTTTTTTATTTGTTTTTAAGTTTTTGGGTTGGGCTGGATATGATGGTCCATTTGAGGTGGTTTGGGGGCGAGGGAGGAGGGTTGGGGGTTAATTAGGAAAAGCCAAAAAAAATATACAAGAACCGAGGCCCAGCCGGGCCCGGGGTTACCCGGGCCGGTTCCGGGACTCCCCTTTCATGAACCGAGGCCCGGCCCGAATCGGGCCCGAACCGGAACCGGTCCACCCATATTTCCGGCGTGAACATTAGCCGCGCTAGCCGTCGGAGCGCTTCCGGTAGTGATATATCAAATCTACTCCTACCGCCTTGCTCAGCGCACCATCGCGACCAACCCGCTGGAAACAGTACCAGCTCAGAATCATTCACCCGCCTACACGCGCCGCCACTCTACCCACAGTTTGCTGAACGATTTTGCAGATCTACTCCATTTTACTCGTCTGCGAGCGACACCGACAGGTTTTTCAGACACCTAGGTCCCTGACGACCTAGACCAGTCAGTCTGGTACTCCTAGACTCCTCCATGCGCCGCCGCCGCATCCACACCCGCCGCCACTGCATCCACACTCGTCGCCGTCGATCGTACATGCCGCCAAAAACGCGCCGCCGGTCCAGACTCGCCGCCACTATTGCTGCCTTCCACGTGAGCAGACTTGTTTCGCTGCTTGTTCCGCTTCTAAGGTCATGGTAGTGTTGCTTCCATATCTTTTTGTTGTTTTAAGCTAACTGTTCCGCTGTTGTCCATACGTTTGTGAGCAGACTAGTCACCTTAGTGATCTGTCTGATCTTTTATTTGCTTAAAAAAAGTCGAAAAAAATGTCAAGTTTCTCTTCGTTTGCTTCAGTTCCAATCATCACCACCGATCAACTAGCTGGAAGTATTCATTATCAATCATGGGTTATTTCTGCGGAGATGTGGTTCAAAGGTCAAGGTCAAATTGATCACTTGAATGTCAATGCAAATAGGATCAAAGACAAGCGGAATGAATGGGAGAATATGGATGCCTTATTGTGTAACGTGTTATGGCAATCTATGGATCCAAAACTTCATCCTACTTATCAATCATACCCCACATGCAAACAGATTTGGGAAAAAGCTAAGACCAACTACACAAATGACATCCAAAATTTGTTTTCCTTTGGTTCCAAAATTGCTATGCTCAAACAACAAGATTTGTACATTCAAGAGTTTCTAGGATGGGCTGAGGCATTACTGTTTGAATATAATAATATTCAACCTATCACTGAAGATAAGGAGAAATAACTCGAGCAAAGACAACAACTTGTTATGGTTTTAACCTTAGCAAGTCTTCGCCCAGAGTTGTTATCAATACGTGAGCAAATTCTCTCTAATTCTTCTGTTCCTACAATGTTTGAAGCCTTTGCCATAATTCTTCGAGCCACCCCAATATCTGCTGACACATCCTCAAGTGATTCTATCACACTTGCATCTCAAGGTTCAGGGTATGATGGGGGAAATAAAAAAGGATATCCACGGCGTAATCGCCCAAAGTGTGATTTTTGTTATATGCACCAAGTTTGTTACAAATATATTGCATCCTAGGTCCTCTGAGAGACTTGGTTAAAACATCTGCAAGTTGATCTGTTGTTTTGACATAATGAGTAGTTATATGTCCATTTGTGATTTTTTTCTCGAATAAAGTGACAATCAACTTCAATCCTCTCATGATACACTAGATTGGAAGCAATACACATTGCAGCTTGATTATCACACATTAGCTTGACGGGTTTCATGATTCCGTATTTTAATTCTTGGAGGAGATGCTTCAACCATAATATCTCACGTGCAGTTAAGGGCCATTCCACGATATTCTGCTTTAGCACTAGACCTCGCAACCACATCATGTTTCTTAATTACTTTTCCAAGAAATCAAATTTCCACCAATCAAAATGCAATATCCAAAAGTAGAACGTCTATCCATTGGACATCCAGCCCAATCTGCATCACAATATCCAACAATGTCATGGTGCTCTCGATCTTCAAAGAGTAACCCTTGTCCTGGAGTTTTCTTGATGTATCTCAAGACTCGGATAGCTGCGTCCCAATGTCCATCACATGATTTAACAAGGAATTGACTAAGCACACTGACAGCAAATGAAATATATGGTCTTGTGATGGTAAGATAGTTCAATTTTTCAATAAGCCTTCTATATCTCTCTTTATTGGGCAGGAGGTCACCTTGTTCTGACACGAGTTTGACGTTTGGATCCATTGGTGTATCCACTGGCCTACAATCCAGCATATCTGCTTCCTGAAGAATATCCAATGCATATTTCCTCCGTGAGAGCACAATTCCATTTCTTGATTGGGCAACCTCAATACCAAGAAAGTACTTTAGTTTTCCCAAGTCTTTTGTTTGAAATTTGCTAAAAAGATATTCCTTGAGTTGGGCAACTCCTTGGTCATCATTACCTGTAATGACAAAGTCATCAACATAAACACAAGAAATATACATTTATTGCCTGCAAAATGTCTATAGAATATGGAATTATCTACATCACTCCGAGTCAAGCCAAAACCACGAACAACAACACTAAATCTCTCAAACCATGCATGCATGTGGGGATTGTTTCAAGCCATATAAAGAACGACGTGATCTGCAAACCAAACCAGACCCCCCCTCCCCCCCCCCCCCCCCCCCCCCGAGCAACAAAACCAGGTGGTTGCTCCATATAAACCTCTACAATTATGATTGACAAATCTGCTAGATATTGTGTCGATGGAAGGATCTATATGTGCTGTGTCATACCCGTTTGGTGGTTAGTGATTCCTATTGCTCTTTCAGGGGTGGTCGTCTCTGAGTCTAGCCGTAGGGTTGATAGTGCTAGTTGGTTAGTGATAGTTGTTGTCAGGGTTGGTCTTTTTGAGTTTGTTGTAACAATTCCTTTCCTATGATTTTAATATAAAGTGGTTTGTTTTGATGATCAAAAAAAAATATCCAATTGAAATAATGGCCAGTGACTCATTGCTGTCATGGATAAAATCAGACTAACAGATGCAATTATTGCAACAGGAGAAAATGTATTAGTGTAATCTAATCTATAGATTTGTGTATACCCCTTTGCAACCAGGCGTGCTTTAAGGCGATCAATGTGTTCATCTGATCCTACTTTTACTGTGTATATCCAGTGGCACCCAACAACTGATTTCCCAATAGGAAGGGGAACTAAGTCCCATGTCCCACTAGAATGTAAGGCCTCCATTTCAGCTAACATAGCTCGACGCCACTCTGGGTGTTATAATCAAGCTGCAATGCACATTGCTTCCAATCCAGTGTATCATGAGAGGACTAAACACATTTAAGTTGATTGACACTTTATTTGAGAGAAAAAAATCACAAATGGACATATTACTACGTACTCTTTATGTCAAAACAATAGATCAGCTTGCAAATGTTTTAATCAAGTCTCTTAGAGGACCTAGGATGCAATATATTTGTAAAAAACTTGGTGCATATAATTTATATGCTCTAGTTTGAGGGGGGTGTTGAAACCCTAGTTGTATTGGGCTTAGCCCATCTTGTATAGTAACCCTAGTGCTCTAATTTTTGCTATAAATATAGCTATTTGTATAGTTCTTAACATCTTATACTGAAATACAGTTGATATAGTTTACAGTTTTCAAATGTGTTGGGGAAATTTGCTGGACTATAATTAGAACATAGTGAGACATGACATTACTACTAAAATTCATGACTAAGCATAAAATTGATACTAAAGTACCTTCAATACCTCATAATCTTAGATATGGAGACTATTGAATTTGTCCTTTGTTTCCGGTTATTACCCACACACAAAGCAGGCTTTGGATTGTAGGAACCTAGGCACAATTGCAAAAAAACTATTCTTAATTAATTTTAAATAATTGGCCAAAAAAAGGTGTAAACGTATCACTAAATTTGAACTTTGGAGTACTCATTTATCCTATTAAATAAATTAGAAAAATATGTTATAAATGATAGACATATGATACAACGATTGAGAAAAAAAGTAAAGTTATGCTAAGCGAAATTTATAATACGATTAGAGGTAAAGAGACAGAAAACTGAATTAACTTTCATGATTTTTATGTGTTTCATATTTTGAGACGTGCAATACTCAATTTCTCTGTAGTGTTTTTTTTTTTTTTTGTATTTTGCTATGGTTTTGTTTGATAATGCGAATTTTCATACAATAATGGATATCTAATCTCTAATCTAACTCAAATTGTTTATTTGCATTTGGCATTCTAATTAATAGTGTGCTTTCCTATAATCTTGCGTCATAAACATTTTTTGAATTTAATGTATATAAAATATATTTTTAAATTTGATCTTTGTAAGTCCATGCTTAAGTATTTTCTTCACAAAATATATCAAATAACTTATCATCTAAGCAATGTTACTCGACAAATATTTTTGGAGTTTCAATTTATTCCAAATTACTTCACATATTATTCTCATTCGTTAATCATCATCATAACTATAAAGTAAAAGTACCCTCAATGTTTACAATTTTCATAGCTTATTTCATATAGATCGTCATCCGTTAGTCCGTTACTAATCCCATTGCTCATTTATACTCAACTCTAATGCATTCAATGTTCTTCCATCTATAAGGCCATTCACATATCATGAATTTTTGGAATTCTCTAGTACTCAGCCATTCGCTGCAAGTAATTCTTCGATGTCAGCGACTACCACCACCAACGGAATGCCTTGGTTGTGCTAGGAAATTAGGAGATAATAATTAATTATATTAAGGTAAAATTGTAATATTTAATCCTATTTAAAGAAAATAAAACATGTAATTCTATTTTTGGAAGATGATTATGTTGAGTCTCCCGCTCTCACCCCTTTAATCCCTGAAACGCAACACACAAGCAAACACGGCATATCTCTTTGGTCAACGACTCTTGTCCATGGTCAGCGTTTCAAATTCAAGGAGATAAAAATACTTGAACATAAATAACTTAGTCATTGCCAAAACCCATAGTATTCTACACAAAAGTGCATGTAAACATAAAACATGACCATATGCACAACTGCACAAGATAAACTTCATACTAAAGGCATTCCTCAACCAATTCAATACACCGGTATAAAACCATTGCAAGAGGGTTTAGAGAACATATCATATCAGATTCCAGTTGATCAAGATCAGTCCGGTTCTCTGCTGCCATGACTCCAGAAACTAATGAGCGAAGCGGCAAGAGCCATTTGCGATGCACTTCTTCTAGTTTTTCTTTGGAGAGCACGCCAGTATAGTTGGTTTTCCCTGTTTCATGGACACAATGAATACAATTAATGGTTCCACATTCACCCAAAATTCATTTGAAGCAATGGCAGAAGCATAGTTGGTCAGAGGACATTACAATATCATCAGGCTTCAATGGCTTGTTTGGTTGCAGGATTTCAAAGAGAAAGACTTATTTTCGTTTTCTTTCCTTACTACTTTATACTACGTATTTGTTAGTCATAGATAGTAAACACTTCCAGCTCAAGGGTTAACTAGAGGTTAATAACTCAAGTTATTACGGTTCAGTACATAAATTAAGTACAAGTTAGTAAATAAATTTTATGACTAAAAGTTCGTAAAAAATTAAAGCAATAACTAAAGACGGTATTAAGAAAATGGATAAGATGTGTCATCCAACTTGTTGCTTCAACACACAACTAGTAGTAACAGGAATGCTGATATATGAAAGACTTGAGGACATTTGATATACCATTGCATCAAAGTTTAATTAAAAGTTAGTAAATGAATTTTATATACTTAGAAGTTAGAAACTGAAGAGTTTTATGAAATAAAAAAGCAAAGTAAAATATTATAAGAAAAATTAAAGAAAAAATATACTCCGTACTACGTATATCTAAAAGAAGGAAAGTATGACATGTACTCCATTTTACTTTGAAAGACAGCATAATACTAACAGGACTTCAAACATATGAGAGACTCAGAAATTTGATATACCATTCCATCTCTTTAGCACTAGGAAACAAGATAATATGGAAATACAAAACCACCAAGGCACCAATGAATAATTTAAGCAGTGCCTTTTTGGATAATAATTTTCCTTCTATTCCAAGTTTAATCGAATGTTTACTAGGTTCCTTTAGCTTAAGTGTTTAACATCGAGGTTCCATTAAATTCTTGAAAGCAAGAACTTTGTTTCTGAATTCCTGCAGAGAGTTACAGAAGGCTCAATAGATATTTGTTTCTTCTTTTTTCTTGTGCCAGTTCACTTTAATTTAAATAATAACTTGCTTACCAGATGACTCTGTGATTAGTATATATCTGTAGAGGTTGAGTGCTCCTAGAACCTGCAGTGTAATTTCAGGAGTAAAAAGAAGAAAAGTTTACGTTGAATAATTCATGCAGAGTTTATGTTCAGTTTGTCTGAGAAAATTTCAATTATGTTTTTCACATATGTTTTGGATATATAAACAAATTCACAAACGGTGTCATACTTTTAATTTTAGTTACAACGTCATTATCATCACCGTCATCATTACACCCAATGCCGCAAAGGTTCCCACCTACAGTGGGGGTGGGGGCTTAGATGTATATAGTCTTACCCCTGTACTAAAGCATAGAGAGTCTGTTTCCGGATGAGCCATAGTGAAAATCGCGTTGAAAATTACATGGACTGATTGTTGCTTCATAATAAAGAAGCGCAGACAATTTAGTGAGCCATTTTGCTTTATTCAATTATATAAAGCCAATAAATAGTGAGTCTTTGGCTCCATGACAAATGATGGAAATTTTAGTTACAGTGTACAACTTATAAATAATACTCCCTCCGTCCCATAAAACATGTCCAAATTTCCTTTTTTGACCGTCCCAAAAAACTTTGTCATTTCCATTAAAAGTAATAAATATGTGGCTAAAACTATTTCGCTTTTACTTTATTATTCCACATGCAAGTCAACATTGGACAAGTTTTATGGGACGGAGGGAGTAGCATTTTGTGGCCACATGTGTGTGCAAGTATACGAATTCAGCCACTAGGGAAAAAAATTGTTCAGATTTAGGGTTTTGAGTTCACTTGAAATGCAGCATGTAAACCTTTCATTTACAAAAAAAATGAAATGCAGACAAATAATGTAAACCTTTCATTTACCATACCAGTAATAGGAGCCCATTTCATTAAAATACTAATTAGATACCATTTCAATCCATTAGTAATCTATACATTTTCTTTTTTGAGCTGATTCAAAATTACCCCCCACATCCTTTCAGGGAAAGCACTGTCAGTTTCATATTATTTCATTTTTCTAAATAAATTTCAACCACAAAATTTTCTTTTTAGTGATCCCTGTAACTATGGCAAATTACACGTTTATTTTGGGGACAGAGGAAGTAACAAACAACACAAAAGCGAGTAGCACAATCAAAAGCAACCAATGTGGACAATCCACAAATAACAATGACAAAGGAAAACCTTCCCACAACCCAACACACACTTACCGCATCAGTGTACTCGGGAAGGGATGGAGGGCCTCCCGTCGGGGGTTTCAATACCAGTTCCACTAATTCAAGAGTGCTATCATCCCAAAATAGCAGGAATGTTGAAGCACTGGCTTTTGATTCTAACCCTCCATTGCTCATTGAGGATTTTTTACTGTATTCTGCATTCATTTCCCTTCTTACACGATCTAAAAGAATTCCAATCTGCACAAATCATTAATACTTATCACAGTACTTAATGGTGATAAACTAAATTGGAGCTTAAACAAAGCTATATACTTTGATGGCTATTCATGTAAACATGAAATGACATACCATGGAAGAAGAGTTGCTATTCTTGACCAATGTTTTCAATATTTCAAGCCTTAGAGAACTTGGAACGTCAGAAAGCGCCTGTTGTATATAGCAACCAATCAAGCTTTAAAATGTGTGAGCGCAATTTAAGTTCTACTACTAAAAAGAAACTTTAGTCTCTACCTTTACTTCATTCTGGTTTTTCAGATTAGCTATCAGTGTGAATAGTTAATTGAACTAAAATGGAAACCCATCTTTAAGGTTGTTACAAGTTTATAGTTTGAGGTAATTGTTAAAAGAGTGCACTAATTAACAGCAAGTTAAACAACAAGTTTTCGTTTGACTAAGGAACTTTTTCCAAATTTTACACGAGATTGACAACTCTACAATGATCTTCCTCCTCCTCAATAATAAGATTCAGAATTTCTATGTTTTAGATGAAGAGCTTTAGTGGTGAATTCAGACCACCTTACAAGCATCGATTAGTTGCAAAGCAACATTAGGTTGGTTACACAGCCAACCAATTCTTAAGCTCCAATTCAAAAAAAGACAATTAGATGAGATGTAACAATGTATATGAATGTCATCCAGATAGGTTTTATGGGGAAGCATCACTAGATTATTTTCTCTTGGGGTGGGATGGGGGTGGGGAGCTCCTCATTTTTGTTGAAAACATGAATAAAAAGAAATACCCAGAGAACAACTAAACAAAATAAACCATTTTTAAGAAAATAGGACATAGCCTCAAAATAGAAATACAAAGTATAACCTTGTTGAATGCGTCATAAGCACTCCTTCGTATAACAATGCTAGGTGCATACATAATAACCACTTGAATAGCCTGGAAGATGCATTTGAAATATTAGAGAATGAAGAAAATAAAATAAACAAAGAGAACAAGAGAGAAACAGATTACCAACAATCCAGTATGTAGAGAGGGCATATATGAGAAATTGTCAATATGTTCAGCTTGTGTTTCATGACATTCAGAACCATCCAAAATGCTAAGCAAGAATTCAAGAGCATTCCTCTTCAAATCCCACGAAAGCATAGCACATGAAAATATATGCTTTAGCATGCCTACTGTCTGCCATCTCTTAGTCTGGTCATTTTGAAGCTCTTTTCTTAATGCACCTGTATCTTCTGAAGCAGCCACAGCTGCCTCGTCAAACTTATAACCCCAAATGACTGTAGTAGTATATCAGTAGAAAAGGAAAAACTGAGTCTTCACATTCAAACAAAACATATGTAAATAACTGAGAACATGTTAAAAGGACCTGCCAGTGATGCACCATGTTTTACAAAAGAAAAATGTGGTATATCATCTTCTCCATCATCTGTACAATTTTCAAGAGGATTTAGCGGATAACAATGCATACTACAATACTACATAACAAGATTATGGAAAGAATTAAAGAGCATCACATAGAAGATTTGCTACAATTTCTTCCTTTCCTTACTTAAGGTTGTTTTATGCATGTAATAATCACTACTATAAAAGGGGTTTTTTCTTTGCTAATAAATCATCCAAGAATGACTTATGGAAACTCCATAACATTCTAAGTTTCTAACCATTGTTCGTTGTTTATTTTCCTTTGACCTATCATGGCAGCCTAGGTCACCAACTCAACATCTTACCCACAACCCTGATTGCCTTGTCATAGCCCACGACCCAAAGGTACATAGCAGGATACAAAAAAATGATATACTAGTATATTATAACCAAGAAATGCAGTTTCAGTCTATACTTTGGAATATAAAGCATATAACTGACCTTGGACAATAATGTTTGTAATCCTATCAACATCAAAGCCAGTAATTAGGCCCATATATGACAAACCACAGATGTGAAGGAAGTGTGATAAGTGGGTCACGATGGGTATAAAGTGTGACGTTCTAGCCCCAGAGGATAGTGAAACAAGGGCCTGCACATCAAGAATGTTTTGTGGCAACAAGCATAATAAACAGAAGGATATTATAAAAGAATCACCAAAGCATCAAAAGAGATAAAAAAAATGAATAACTGGAACTTAGTGGAGGTTTTACTTAGCAGCATTTACCATCACTTGCAAGACGAAAAGGCCAAAAAGGGCACACAGCTTCTGGTTATCCATTTCTACCTATCCAAAAAACAAGTTCAATTTAATACACAATATAAAATCTCCATTTGTCTCCTGTGTTAAGTACACCTTTTTTTGTACGTCTAAAAATTATAAATACTTTCCTAATATGGACTTCACTAGCTAATTACTTTCCCGCTTTGTTGTTTTATCTATCATTTCATTTTTTGTTTTTGTGGACCCATACTATTTTTTTCTTTCTAAAAGGTTACTATTTTAAAATAACAACTGTCTCCTTTAATCTAAAATCTCATGCCAAACCCATATGTGTCTTACATTTTGGGATGAAGAGAGGATTATATAGGGCAAGATCAGTAGTTAATAATGTTACTAACCAACTTTCTGCAGATAGCTTCAATGGAATTCGCAATGTCAGTTGCTTTGAAAAACAAAGCACCAGCATTAGCATTAGCATTAGCATCAACATCTTCATCTTCATCCATCTCTAATGACACATGGTTTAGAACGTGAAGGACAACAGGAACTGCAGACTTTACTTGCTCGAATTGCCGTCGCTGGATTCGTGTTAGAACTAAAGAAAGAAAGAATGCAATGGAAACTCAATCCAACTGGAAGTGAAAACATAAGAAGGTTGTTGCGAATATAGCATGCATTTGATAACATCAGCATAAGCACTTGATATTGGTACTTGAATACAGAGAAAAAAACACAGTAAAAAGTGGAGAGGTTATAAATATCTAAATTCACTAGACGGTCTCCAATCATATGGCAATGTACTCAAATATCCCTAATTTATGTTGATCTCCTTATCATTAGACAACAGCATAAGTCAGGACTCAACCAGGTCCGTTAACTAATGTCAAAGATAAGTTCTTAAGAAGTGCCTAGAAGTTCCTTTTTAATGGAATGAGAATCAAATATGGAGTATAGATCTACTGGAAAATCTAAGATAAGATGAGCAGAGTATAATGGTACAAAACTACAAATGACCATTGACTTGGCAGTTGGCACTTTGGGTGGACATCAACTAGAGATTTTTTTACTTCTTATGTGCTTATTATGGATAAAGTATATGCAGTTTATCTGTAAGTTCTCATACTATGAATAAACACAAGTACATTCATGCATTCACCTTTTGCAATCCCACTCATAATAGGTGCATAATAAAGAGGTGTCTGGAACTGCTCGTCTGGAGAGCTCAGCGCCTAACAAATTGTAAAAAAATAATAGTAGTAGTAGTAATATTATTATAAACTAAGTAAAAATAAAAGTACAGAATGCAAATATAAAAAATCTATGCATAGTCAACATTAAGTATTAAACATTAGAGTAAGAATTTGCCCTAAATAAGAGTTAGGAAAAAACTGCCTATTATGTTATTACGCCACCATATTAATGTCCGATAATGCCAAAATAATGCACTATGATTTTAAGTTTGGTACCAATTTGTTTCACCTAATTCAGAAATTTCCCTAGATCCCTAGAAGAACAAAAGAGAACAAAAGATGATCAGAAGTGTAGCAGCAGCTCAATTACAAGTTATCTCGTACATCACAGAAAATTGGAAGCATCTCGCGCGGACTACATTTCTCAAGCAGATTATCGATACAGCATTCCGCAAGATCAGAACACCTCTTTGATGCGCATGCGACTCTACACAATGCTTTAGGTAGCTCAAATGATAGTTCTTCCAGAACTTCCTGAAACAATCAAAACAGCCACGAATGACATGCTTGATACATACTCCCTCCGTCCCTAAATAAAGATCTTACTTTCCTTTTCGGTTTGTCTCTAAAAAGGGTCCCCTTTCCTTGTTTGGTGAACAAAGCAGTGCAAAAGGTGCAAATCAGTGCCACTTTCTTAAATTGTGTGAAACAAAGTGACACTTCTAAATAGGGACGGAGGGAGTATTCTTTTGAACGATCTTTACGCATTCCATCGATCTAAAAGAATACCTGGCTTGGAGCAAGAGAGCTCGTGAACATGTGAATTTCTGTAAGAAATTGGAAGGCTGTTCTCTCAAAGTCTTCATATCCAGCTTCTCGCTGGGCAGAACCGGCAGCCAAGTTTAAAAAATCAACAAGTTCCGACACGGAACGACCTGATCCGGGCTGATCTCCACCTTCAATAGACTGCAATTTACATAAATGAGCAATATAACCTAACTGCCTAACTGCATACTAGAAAACATTTACATGAACGTATTGAAGAGCTCGCGTAGACTTACACGAGAGCATGAAGCTAGGTAATGTTTAAGTTGAAGAATGGCGGAATCAGAAGAAGAAGGCGAGCGTGCCTCTTCAGTCATACTGATGCTCTCCCAATCGAAGCCCTGTGCAGAGCAGAGAAGCTTTAGCGGGAAATACTCCCTGGCTTAATTTTTTACCCAAATCTTTTTTGAATGATATGTACTCTATTTCAAAAATTATTATTGAAAAATACTCCCATTTTTCATTTTTGAAAGGTTTTGCATGTCTAATATTTATGAGATAGTACTCAAAATAGGATTAAAACGGTTTGAAAAATCCAAAATAGGACTGTAATGTTTTTTTCTCAAAATAGGACTAATTACTGTCATGTTTTGGCAGTACCAGACTTCAAACATGTCAGTATTTTCTAAACATGACAGTAATTAGTCCTATTTTAGGAATCAAAAACATGACAATCCTATTTTGGAATTTTCAAACTATTTTAGTCTCATTTCTGGAACTTTTCCAAATATTTATTTATCTTTTTCTTACTTAATCGCAATTATACTTAATCTCATTTTCTTAATAGACGTGTCAAGACAAAACAGGAAGTTTTTTTGGGACGAAGGGAGTACACATACTATCCAAATTTACAATTTTTTAACTCGTGAATTGTAATACACAAATGGAATATATGCAAAATCTAAGTCAACTTTTCCATTAAGAAATACAGTATACAATATGCTTTATCGATACTTTCTGTTTGTAACTTTATGTTTTTACGGAGATTTTAATAGTAGAGATAATTAATACTCTATAGTGAAGAAAAGCTGTAAAATCTTTGTGAAAATAAATGAAAAAGTAGGAAGAAGATAGTTGTTAAATGATGATGGTTGACTAGTTACTGTTATCTTGAGGTTAATGACTTCGAGTATTCGATTGAGAAATAGAATAAATGGTTTACTTATAACCTAATTGGAAATATGACTTAATCATTCACTTGAAAATTTGACTTAATCAATAGGTTGAAGAATATCAGTGTTTCACATTAAGATGTCTATTAAGATGTTTTCTATCAATTTTTTAAAATTAACTGCGGAATATAATTATATTAACAAGTGGAGTTTTTCATTGACACTATAATCTAAGAATAATACTAAGTCGATTATTTTACTCGATTCAGACTATTTATTCAGAATACAAAATAAGCAGTGTCATAAATAAATACGGAGTATCATTTAATTCAAACAAACATCTTAGTGTAGACAAGACTTAATGAAAAAGGAGTAATCTTATAACTGAGGCGATTTGCGGATTACCTTAGACATCAAACACACATGAGCTAAAATTTGATGAAATTTATTTTTTTGATGACGACGTTTAAAAAATGCGTCAAATCCCCTTATGTGTTTAATTAATCATGTGTAAAATCCCCTTCAAGAACAAATTTTACAATTCTGAAATCACTTTTTTTAATAATATGCTTGAATATGCAAGTAACTTTATCAAAATTTCTAAATTATACAACAAAAAACTAATCATTTTTCATTTTTTTGGAAACTAAATTTGTTCTAGGAGGGGATTTGGTGTATGATTAATTAAAACACAATGGGGTTTGACGCATTTTTTAAATCATAATTGACTAATGCACTGAATTTATTTTTACCGTCCAATGGCACCATAGTCAGAAGATAGGATAGGGGTCGGAACTTGGCTACGTAGTACGGCCACTATCAAACTATGTACTCCCTCCGTCCCTAATCTTTCTCCCTTTTCGGCTGAGCACATTATAGTGGGATTTGTGTGGTGGAGAATTGTGCAGAGGAGAGAGAAATGTGTAAGAATGTGTAAGAATGGTTGTGAACCACAAATTTTTTGCTAAATGGGGGAAGAGGAGATAATTTTGGCACGGACGAAAAAGGAAAGTTTGAAGATAATTTAGGGACGGAGGGAGTAATTGTTTTGAAACAATATATTTTAATTGAGCAATTCATATGCGTGTGGATTAAGCGTTAGTTTAAATAAGATCTAAAAAAATATTGATTTGATAAATATGTAATTCAAAGTATATTCTAAAATTCACCAGCTAATGAGTAAATTTAGGGATTGTGGGAACACAACCAATATTATGAATCAATTTTACTCGTCAAGGTTTGATGATGATAATTTTTCAGGTGTATCAAATTGAATGAGGATACTTGGATGTTCTACATACTCGGGTTTTGAGCGGTCGGCTGGCCATCCTAAAATGATAGACTTTTTTGTTGTAATAATGAAGAGCTTCTTTCAAAAATATTTCTCCTTATCTGAATTACATTCATCGACAAAAATGTGGCTAAAGTTATTATAAATGTAATATCATAGTTACTATAGTGTAAATATGTATTTAGTTCTTGTAAATATAATTCGATCGTTTTATAAGTAAAAGGTACTTATATATTCACCATAAATAGGTCACACTTTATCCATTATTTTGGTATTATTTATGTCTTTAGAACTTACTATTGCAAAGTGGCAGTGGTTAGACAATAATATTTTTATCGTTCCACTTAGAAGTTTCAATTGGAAAATGACATAGTTATTTAGACAATAATTAAAAGGTTAATTCGAGCACACTTTAAGAAATAGTTTTGATGAGTATATAATATAATGAGGTCAATGATGACAATTATGATGTTATGGTTATGGATGTATTATATTTAATAGTTGATGATTAAATTTTCTTTAAGAATGTTGTTTTTTTAAATAAAAATGAGAACTTTTATATAAGGTGAGAACCTTAGTGCATGTTTGGTATTCATAAGTTCATACCTTATAGCTTTTATACTATTTAAAAAGTCTCTTAGGCCCTGTTTGGTTGGAGGGTTTCAGAGGGGAGGGGAGGAAAGTGGAGGATTTGTGTTTGTTTGATTGAAGAAAATAGGGGGGAAGGAAAGGAAAGTGGAAGGCTTTCAAAATCCTCCACTTTCTCTCATTCTAAACCTCCCAAATCGGGGTATTTAGGAGGAAACGTGTTGATAACCACAAACTATCCATCTCCTACGTAAATGAACAAAACGTTATAATATAAAAAAGTAAAAAACAAAAAGTTCTCACAAATTAAGAAATTTAAAATTTTAAAAATTTAAAGATTAAAAATTAAAAAATTTTAAAAAAAATTAAAAATTGAAAATTGAAAAATGAAAAATTATAAAAGTAAAAAAGTAAAAAAATCAAATAAAATAAAATTATGACTCATGACCATAGGAGTAATATTCACAATAGTTAGACATGTATCTATTTTTTTAAGTAAGTTATCATATAAAAGTAAATTGCAAAAATATTTTCATTAAACATTTCCTCCTATTTCCTCCAACCAAACACAAATTTTTATCAAAATCCTTTATTCCCCTTCCCTTCTCTCCTTGACTCTCCCCTTCTCTCCCCTCCTTTGAACCAAGCAAGGCCTTAAAGTTTCTAGTTGTATGTTTGACATGACAATTTTAAAAACTTTAAGAAAATTACGGAGTATCTTTTTTGAAATGTTACAATGAGTAACATCTGAGATAAGTTCGTAGCTTTTAGCATTAATTAATCTCAACATCTTATATGCCAAACACATCTAAATGAAACAGTCAACTTTTTTATCAAACAGCTACCACATTTTCCTTTTAAGATCTTTTCAATCACTAAAAACTAAGAGTAACTAAAAAACTCATAAAAATATTTTTTTTGAGATGATTGTGTCAAACATACCCTTAAAATGAGATGGAAAAAGTATATTTTATAAGGAGTATTATGAAAAAAACATGGGCGCCAAACGTAAGATTTTTTTTCTTTCACTGACCACAAGGTCCACAACAATATCTCATCAGGTCCATCGCCTCCACGGGCTCCACATATTGGAAAGTCCACAACTGCACTAGTAATAATATTGTAATGTGATCTACTAATCTCTTTTGAACGGAATATAAGTACTTAGCAGCTCATTTAGCACACGAAGAATGAATCAATTAAGCTTATAAAATAAAATATGGCTAAAATCTTCTACGGAGTATCATAATGAGCCACCCTCCACCTTCCCAATAATCCCAATGATGTATGGCTATATTAGTATTTTGATTTTATTGGATGAAGTTTTACGTTACTTAAGTGTAACATTATTTATTTTTTTGAAAGCAATAATATTAGTTGTGACACACATTTTGCAACTACATAAAAGTTCACTTTATTTACAAAAATGTAACCCCTTTTTATTCATTGCAGTGCATATTCAAATTTGAGAAAATGTACAATCTTACTCATTCGCGTCTGTCTTCTAAATTCACATTCTCGATCCCAAATTTCTATATATAACTATTTTTTTCAATGACCTTTAGGCCCGACGCTCTAAATTAATTCTCATATGAAAATGGTGGTTGAAATAGTGATAATTTCTATGTTCATTAGGTGATAGACTTACTAATCCTATTGAGAGGTTTACTCAAATAAGATAAGAGGTGGGCATATCGATTTTCAGTTAGGCTTGTATCGCTTTCGGTTAAGTTCGGTTTGGAACAGATTGAATGAATTATTACCAAACAAAAATCATACTATTTATCGGTTTAGTTCGGTTTGATTTGGTTTGGATGTTTTATTTTTTAATAACATACTCCCTACGTTTCACAATCTTTGACACAGTTTGACTTGTCAAGGATTAAGGAAAAATGTTACTGAGGGGTAAATTTTACTGTAGAGTCCACTATTTGGCACTGTTTGAACACTGTTTGACACTGTTTGGCACTTTTTTGGTAAAGATTTGTTTACCAAATAAGGAAATAAGGAAATGTGTCATTGATTGTGAAATAGCCAAAAAAGGAAAGTGTCTCAAAGATTGTGAAACGGAGGGAGTATGAAGGTTTTATTGAATTTCTTTAGTTCGTTTTTGTTCGGTTTTTCTCGGTTTTGGTTCACTCTGGTTTAATACGATTTGAGAGCAATACTACCAAAATCAAACCAAACTGCACATGGTTCGATTTCGGTTCGATTTAGCCCGGTTTGGTATGGTTCGGATCGATTAAACCAAACTAATAAGTCCACCCTTAAATAGGATCAATACAATGCCATTTTCTCAAAATAGAACCTAATGCTTAAAATTTGGGAAAACTATCAAATAAGCCCTCGTACTATACCGAAAAGGTCGATTAAGCCCTCGTACTTTACAAACACTCAATTAAGTCCTCGAACTATTAAAAAACGTTCAATTAAG